AATAATAATAATAATAATAATAATAATAATAATAATAATAATAATAATAATAGGCTATAATTCTTGTAGATACTAGAAAGATGTAGAAGAAGATTCTTTTTTAGATGTAAGTAAGTTGTATAAAGCGTCTATAGCTAGTGTAGAGTAATCTAAGTTTTTATATATAAAGTTCGTGATGCTAAGAAAAAGTGGCACACTTAGTGATGTGGCCCGCTTGGTGATGGAATACGTTATAGCTTCTATTAGCCTAGAACAGTAATATATAAACCTTATATAGTTTGAAGAATACTTTTAGTTTAATTCGTTTCATTAGAATAAAATATTTAAAAACTACTATATCTTTATATTAAAATTATAAAACTCTTTATAATTTAAAATTATTATCTACTTCCTATAGTTATAAAATACAACAGGGAAAGAAAAGAAAGTATATAACGATAATCAAGTTATATAACGTGGTTCACAAGTGAGTCGCTAACCCAAGCAAGTCGCTAACGCCCCACCACTACATCTACATCAACACGTTATCACAGTTTTTTATTATAGTTAATAAACTATTGCGATACACTAAATTAATTGTTAGAATTGCTACTATCACTTACACTATCTATCTCAACTACGCAGGTACGAGCGTTGTGTCTAGTCTGCTTGCAACGCCCGCACCGCCGCTCTCCTCGCACCCTCTTCGACGCACTCTCACCATCACCACGACTGCTACCCGCCTGTTCAGCTAATACTTCTTGTACTTCGCCTACAGTAAGAGTCTCTTCAGTCCGTACGTATCGCCGCTTGCGGCTTTTACGCTTATTTAACTTGTTAAGAGCCGCTTAAAGCGTACCCATTTCCTCTATTATAAGCGTTATTTCATGTGCTATTTGCTGGGCCCCCTTACTTAGCTGCGCGATCTGCTTAGTAAGTGAATTGGCAGAAGACCCACGGCGTTTTCTCACGCTCTCTTGAATGAGACCAATTCGAGACTTAACCTCGCGCGCGTTGCGTGGTGTCTGCGCCTCCTAGGCGGCTGCCTGTCGCGGTGATTGTACTGGCGTCTGCACCACCACATCAAGCTTAGATAGCACAGCCTGTGGGTCGTGTGGGACTAGACCAGCGCCTCTAAAGCCAGCTTGGATATTCTCCTTCGTGATAGACTGCTCAAAAGCAGTCTTAAAGGCTGGTAGGAAGGTCTCTTTGCTGATATAGTGGGTGCGGTTGCGTGCTAAGCCTAAAATAGCGTCGCCATACTTGCGCTTCAACGGCGAGAAGCAGGCGACGTTAAGGGGCTGCAACAGGTAAGACGAGTGCGCAGGCATGTAGAGAAGCACAATATTCTTCTCCTTGCAAAGATCTTAGAAATCGACAGAGCAGTAGCTCTCATGGCCATTGATAATGAGCAGTCGATACCTACCTATAGTAGAGCTCTTTGTATAGGTATCAAAGTGCTCTAACTAGGCAAGACCAAGCTAATTATTCGTCCAGCCATTGGGACTGACTTCAAGAACCTAGTTAGCAGGCAAATCCTTAAACTAGACGTTGATAAGCACCTTGCCCGCAAAGACAACGAAGGGTGGTATTTGGCGACCCAACGCGCCCACGCCTTGGATCACAGTAACCCACTCACGGCTGCCTAGCTGTATCCGCTTCTTTTTCTTATATCCTTCTAATGCTGTGATAACTAACTGTAATAAAATCTTGCCTATTATAAAGCCAGTCTCGTCAAAGTTGTAGATATCGTCGTCCACAATAACCCACTTCTGCCTTGTCGCCTGGACTAAGTCGAACCAGCGCTGGATAGCCACTGGATCCTCGCAGGCGGCTCGCTGGTGATTATAGGGACGGCTCTAGCGCGTACGGAGCTCAGGAGTCCGCTTAACGAAGTTGTTAACCCAGTTCTTGCCAACAGGGTTGCCACCACGCTCCTCCAATAGTTTATTAGCCATTACTTAAACGTCAAGCTTTGTAGGCGCAAATCCTCGCGCAGACTCTTCAAGAATACGCTTAACTATAGCCTCCTCTTCTAGCTTATCTAGACGCTTCGATTTCGGCTCGCAGTCGCGTTAAGGGCGCTTTCTAGCGCGTTGATTAGATAGAGTTCTTTGTGGGACGTTGTAGATAGTAGCAGCACGGTTTACACTCTAAACACGTTGCAACTAGACGTTAAAAACAGCAAGTTGAAGATTAGATTTAGAATATATTAATAGACGGTTGCGTTGTTAAGACATCACGCGTTATAGTGATAAAGTTGATAGGCTGGTGGGGCGTTAGCGACTCGCTTGGGTTAGCGACTCACTTGTGAACCACGTTAGCAATTTATTTTTTAGCTCTTCTTTCTATATATTTTTATGTATATAACTCTATATAGCTACATACTAAGTAAGATAAAGGTCGACTACGCTAAACTACTTATTTTCTACTTTTTAAATCTATACCTTGCTTAATTTTAGCTGTTCTATTAGCTAGGTTTTTAAAGTTTTATAATATCTATCTTTTTAAGAACCCTTTTGCAATGTGACCTTTCTATACTGATATTAACTATTTTCAAATTTGAACTTTGTATTATAATATATATAAAAATTCAACTAATCTGTACTAAAGAAAAGGTAATATACAGCTATAATTTAAAGTTATTTCCTCTTTATATTCTTATTAATATAGCTATATCTAACTACTTACTAGGTATAAATTACGTCTAATACGCTAAACTACTAGATATTAGCTTTCTTAATTACCTCCTTATATATTTTAAGCTATATTACTAGCTAAGAAATTGGTATTAAACATTAGTGTTTTATCTATTACGTTTTTAAACTGTTACCTCTCTAATATACACCTTCCTCATCGTACTCTACTAGAAACCCATTCCTTAAGGTTTCTTACAAAACATTTAGCTATACTTATCAAGAAAATATCTATATTATATATTTCATATGTTGTATATACTATAGTAAATCAACTTGACCTAGCTTTATATCAGGAGTTTGATATCATATAGTAGATTCTATATTGTACAGTCTAGAGTTAAAAATAATAGTTACATTAACTATGCTCAAAGTCCACTCTAGATAGGGTTCCTCTTTGGAATTAAACGAGGTAAGAGTCTGCCCCCTAGTTTCCAATATATGTGCTGCCTACCCGGAAAATAAGAACCGCGTTGCCGCCCCCGTACGAGCAAGGGACATAGGCTGGGTACCCCAGAACAATAAATGGACCCCGCCCGACATGACACATGATTCATGACACACACAGCTGTTCTACCACACCTCCATTGGTTACGACGGGCAGCTTGACGATGCACTACTCTCGAAACAGCTGTTCGGACTAATGTGGCCTGTCGTCTCGGTGACATAGGTGGAGGCGTTGCACACCATCAATAGCATATCGACTCCACTGGTGATGTACCTTCACAGCCTGGGCAGTGGGGTAGTAGATAATCCAGATCCTATCGCAGGGCGTAATGGTCAACAAATTATTTTTTCAAACCAGGGGCAAATCTAGGTACAGTGCATACCGTGGGCCACACGGAGTGGACTGTTTCTCGCATAACAGGATGGTTGTAGACTTGTTCAACTGGAAATACAAATTCATGGGTTTCTCCCACTTATCGTTCAAAGTGAAGACCTCGAGTAAGCTGTTCGTCTAATACACGCTCATGTTTTGAAGGGGGAAACGATGAATGATTCAGAGATTGGTGACTTCAGGATCTGGACATCCCTAGTAGGTATCACCACTGTCGTCTGGTTCGTTGTGATCCATTGGCGAAAAAGATGATGCATTGATTTCACTACGAGGATTCAATGGCAATACTAATTAGTACTATGTATTGACTTGTTATTTGTCTATTGGTGTGGAACTATGGGAGATTTTGCCGCGGCTTGGACCGCTTGCTTAAGAGGAAAACTACTGTGTTATCAAGGTAGAGAGGAGATTCATGTTTACAAGCCGCGATAATATGAAGTGGCCAAGTTCCTGAAGAACGTGGGTCTGTGACTGCTTGGTACCTGTATACTCAACTTCACTTCTCCCAGTTTTACCACTGAGTCTCAATTGACCTGTGTAAAGAGAATAGCCAAAAGACAGAGGAAAAAGTAGAAACAATCACATACAAGGACATATCAGCGAGTATGATGCAGCCATAGCGAATGGCGACCTCCGTCTTTGGCCAGAACGAGATGTTCAGCCCTTCACCACTTGGTCATTCAGGTCGGCCGGCCACACAGGCGCATCCACACCGTTGCCCCGGGTGCTGACATCGTACCTGAGATGGACCGTCTTGTCTGTGAATTTTAGCACTGGTTTAGGGAAGATGAAGGTGGCACCCACGACGTCAGCTTTTCGTGTCTCGAAAAATGACGGGTTGAAGAGGATGGATGCGTCATACTCGTGGAGAAGCAACAATATCACAGGGAGCAGGCGCTGCATATTGTCGCTATGCCAGAACACGGGCTTGTTGTGGTGTTCCCATAGATGCTGCCACACAGCCGTGGGGTATTTGCCTACCGTCTCAGCGAGCCAGGCGGAGTAGTTGTTCAAGGCAGTCTGATACTCGATGCAAGAGGCCAAATCAGTATTGTCACTGCGTATTATTATTATTATTATTATTATTATTCCATTAGAGTCTATCTGCAGTCAGTGACTATGTAAGACTTTGGCCAGAGGCCGTTCTAGGTACAATTTGTTTAAAGTGAGAGTGTTCTCTGTATAGTACTGCTATTGTGCTGCGGTTTAGTCGCTTCTAGCTGCGCTTAAAGCGGACTCCAGTTGCTAAAGAGCAGTTTAGTAAACAGGAAGAGATGTTAGACAGCAGGGCTGTCTTCCAGCGAGCTCTTTTAGGGCTAAGGAAAGTAACTTAAGAAAGTTTGTTAGTTATTATTAGTTTTAGGTAGTGTCTCTCTGTTCTCGCTTATTTTTAGTTATCTTGTTCTTGGCCTAGATGCCAGCCTCTAGTCCCTACTCTAGTTTTAGCAATGAAAGCTAAAGTCGCCTCTCTGCCTTTGCTAGTGTGGAGGAGTAGTTGGATTGTTAGGTAGTTCTCGCGAAGAGTTGCTTTTAGCGCTTGCCTTTCTGTGTTGTAGTGCCAGCAGTATAGGAGAAGGTGATCTGGTGTCTGTACTCTCCCACAATCGCAGAGGTTTGAGTTTCTCTTTTTC